CTGAAGAATTTAAAACTGACAAAATCAATTTCGTGCTGATCGAAATCGATTTCAAGGCTTTGGAAAGATGATTTCTGTAAGAACGCAGAGGACGTATTTTATACTAACAATCTATTAAATATTTATTGCAATGGAGCAGGAGAGGTCACTGGATCAGTTTTTCTCAATCAGTGCATGCGCTGGAATTTTTTAAAGGAGGGGGGATAGTTTTTTGAGTTTTTAGGTAGACCAATTTGATTTTCCGAGCTCTCCGAAAAACTATAAGGACCCTGTTTGTCAAAAACTTTCCTCGCCGCAATATATCAATAAGTCAATTAATATGATCAATTTTGAAAATCACTGCACTGCATACTGCGGTTATTTTTCGGTATAAAAATAACCCTGTAAAAATTAAATATAAGTTTATGGGCTTAATTGATGGTTTTTAGCAAAACCAAATAAAAACCGAAAGGTAACAAAGCAATTTCCACGCACCTACGTAAGCACACGATTAAAAATATTAGTATAGATGGATTTTTCTACTGAAACCTTGACAATTTTGAAGTTCGATAAACGACACAGTTAATATAAGAAAAAATAGGAGGTTCCTTGTTGCTCTAATTTTTGTTGGCCGTGTTTAATTTTGAATAAAGAACTCGCTAGCTGGTGTAAAACCCCACAATCAGCTGAAATCGCAATTCAACTCCAGTATCTCTAGACCTAACAATACTAGGATCACAAGCAGATTTAGGGAGGAGGGGGATTCAGACGCCTGTCAATCCAAAGGGTCCCCCTCTGTGCTATTTTGAGACCTCCTTTTTTGGCTGCATCATTGACTAAATTCTTGGACCATGTCCAGTACGATACAGAAATTTTTAAGCTCAACTTTTTTCTTCTTTTTTATTAAAAACTCGTCAATTGATACTTGATACCTTTTTGTTGATCTTTGTTTTTGGGGCTGAAGAATTTAAAACTGACAAAATCAATTTCGTGCTGATCGAAATCGATTTCAAGGCTTTGGAAAGATGATTTCTGTAAGAACGCAGAGGACGTATTTTATACTAACAATCTATTAAATATTTATTGCAATGGAGCAGGAGAGGTCACTGGATCAGTTTTTCTCAATCAGTGCATGCGCAGGAATTTTTTAAAGGAGGGGGGGGGATAGTTTTTTGAGTTTATAGGTAGACCAATTTGATTTTCCGAGCTCTCCGAAAAACTATAAGGACCCTGTTTGTCAAAAACTTTCCTCGCCGCAATATATCAATAAGTCAATTAATATGATCAATTTTGAAAATCACTGCACTGCATACTGCGGTTAGTTTTTGGTATAAAAATAACCATGTAAAAATTAAATATAAGTGTATGGGCTTAATTGATGGTTTTTGGCGCAACCAAATAAAAACCGCAAGGTAACAAAGCATTTTCCACGCACCTACGTAAGCACACGATTAAAAATATCAGTATAGATGGGTTTTTCTACTGAAACCTTGACAATTTTGAAGTTCGATGAACGACACAGTTAATATAAGGAAAAATAGGAGGTTCCTTGTTGCTATAAATTTTGTTGGCCGTGTTGAATTTTGAATAAAAAACTCGCTAGCTGGTGTAAAACCCCACAATTAGCTGAAATCGCAATTGAACTCCAGTTTTTTCTAGACCTAGCAGTACTAGGATCACAAGCGGATTTAGGGAGGAGGGGATTCAGACGACTGTCGATCCAAAGGGTCCTTTTGTACTATTTTGAGACCTCCATTTTTGGCAGACGGAAACTAAATTTTTTTTCTGAAGGCGGCTTAGGCGCCAATATATATTAATTTTGAGAGACAAGCGGGTGTCGTAAAACGCGATGTTTCGGTCAACATTTTTCAAAAAGTGCCTCAACCACTTTTTTTGACCTGTTTTTTTTTCAAAAATTTAGCCTGCGGTGCAAAATGTTTTGGTCAAAATAGGGTCTTTATAGTGATTTGTGAGAGCTCGGAAAATCAATTTGGGCGACCTAAATTTTTTTTTTTGAAAATCCACTTCTCGAGAAAATCCTATATCCACCCCTGACTAAAATAACTGTGAAATTCAAAGCCGAGATGAAATTTAAGATAACAATAGAGCTGATTCGAAATTGCTTTCATCACAAACTCAGATCTGAATTGGAGTTCTGGGCAGCAACACACAGTTTAGCCTGTTCGCCTTCTATTTCATGTCCGAAATTCAACCCTTCAATTTTTCGAATTCCAATTAAGCGTCGAAAGAGTCTTACTTCTGATTGAATTTGATAAAAAATGTTAGCTGAAAAGAAACAAAAATTTGATTGCTTTGTTTCGTTTTGCAGTATTTTTTTGGATGGACTTAGTCAGCATGGATTTTATTTAAAAACAAATTATTAATCATAATCTTCAATCGAGGCGAGACACTTACAGCTTAATTAGTGAAACACAATTGCTCAAAAAATTGGAATGGTCCAAAAAGGTTGTCCTCCATTTTTATCGATTCTTGCTCCAGAACGCAAACTTTCAAACGGAAGTTAGTGGGCACTGGAAAACTATCAAGTGCCCATTGACCATATTATCCGTTTCTTTTGAAAAATTCTTCTCTGTGGTAACATCAAAGGGTTTTCTGCACTTTAGTTCTCTATGAATTTTTGTTCCGACCATTGAATTCTGGTGTGTTTTATTTTTTTTTTTGATTTTTTGTTTGTTTTTCACGCTTAAATTTTCACTTCAAATAATCACCGGAGTGCGTCAATTAATATATCAGATTAAAATCCTTTTATTCGTGATTCAAACAGCTTCAAAAAATTCTCAAAAGATGTCCCAGTGCTGAAGAAAACCGCTTTGAATTTTTTTTTGTCTTTTAGTCTAGTTGAGCGATCGAGTAACGTTCCTTGTATGAAAATTAGGGCAAAAAATATTTGGAATTTTTATTTAGCGTTTCCTTGTCAAGAAAAATATTCAAAAATATTTATTTCAACTCTTGTGCAAAAATTGTAGAAGTTTAGAAAAAAAAAATGTTTGTGAAAGTTTAATTTTTTAAATGTTACTCTTTTTTTGAAAAAAAAAAATGCATTCAATTATGCCTAGTTCAACTTTTACTGCTTTTAATTAATTTTTTGTCTCAACTTGCTCATAAAAAAATAATTTAAAGAACAAAATAATTTTTTATTTAGTTTTTTTTTCTATTGTGGTCGAAACATTCTGGGCTACTTGCACAACAACCGGCTCAGCTAATTGATTTGGAGTTTTGTTGCATTCACAAATATAGTTTAAAAAACAAAAGCACACTAGTGCAAACAAACCGAAACTTGAGAAAAACCTACGCCACGAATCTCTTGGTATTCCGGCATCCATTTAATATAGATTTTGGAACAAATAACAATTTTACAAAAAAAAAAGTCAAATTTTGTTTTCAATTTTTTCCGCGCTTGAAATGTCAGCAAAAGTTATAAATCTAGCCCGGGTTGACCAAAAGTCGCTATCTTAGAACTTTTTTTAAGAGTGTTAAAATTTCTTACAAAATTAGGCTTTCAAAATGTTACAAGACAGGGACTTTTTATGCTAACAAAGCTTTAAGATAGTGACTTTTTGTACAAGAATGTTGTAAGTTTTTTTTTCAATTTTTTTTTTGCATGTTCATTGTCATTTTTATTTTTTTAACCAGTATAGCGGTTTTTCACTGAAGCAGAGTAAAACAATGGAATCTCAGAGGCCAAAAAACTCCCTTTGCAACGTGAATTTTTTGAAAAACCCACGAACTTTGGAAGGTTAATTTATGCTGATAACTAGAGATTTTGTCGATGCATACCTGAACCCCACATACAACGCGTCGGCAGTTATATGACATGATTCGTCAAAGTTGAAAATTTTTTTGTATCTAATATAATTTCCAATCGCTTATGACCGAATATTAGGATATTAATTTCTAAAAAATCAAATTTTTTGTTTTTGAATTTCTCTTCGAAATGCATGCATTGTAAGCATTATCTGAAAATTTTTACAAGCCTAATTTTGAAAAAAAAAGAAAGTTTTCCGAAAAAAATTATCTGTTATCACGATATAGAAACACATCCTAAATATTGTGGCAATTTTCTTGAACTTTGGGAAAAAGTTACTATCTTAGAAGTTTTCTCCGTGAATAGCGGAATTTTCCTACAACTCTTATAATAAGTTCTAAGATGGGAGTTTTTTGTCAAACCGGGAGGTCTCGTTACGCCAAAAATGAAGCAAAAAGCTTGTCTCAGTGCAGTTTGGAATAACTTCTGAGTAGGTTTATATCACCGGTTCATTGGTGCTAAGCAATAGTGGAAAAATGTATTTTTTTTTGCGCAAATTAATTAGCCCAATTCGGCAAAACTGGTATCTTCAAATCACCATAAAGTTTCAAAAATTGTTCGTAGTTTGTAGGTAAAATCTATTCAAAAAACTATAGCTTAGGGCATCAACATCTTACTGAATACTGCTTTTTTAAAGTCGAAATTCGTCTTGAAAAATTCACACCGAGCACAATTAATCTTTCTCTTCCTTTGCAAATCGAAGAAATGATTGATTAAATGTCTGGGAGATTTTGAATAATTTCATGTATTTGACCATATAAAAATAAAAAAAACCTTTTTTTGTGACAATTAAAACTTTTATATGGTGGAAGAATACTTAGAAGTTGTTCTTACCTAGACGATGTGCTTACCTAGACGATGCCATGATGTGTTAGACGATGCCACCTAGATGATGCCAACATTTTTTGATTGCTTGTTACCTTCCATAAAGTTTAAAAAAATATCTTAGGAAAAATTGAGTTTCAAAAGTTTTGTGCGGAAGAAACTCAACAAAATGAAATAATATTTAGAGAAACTTCTTACGGATTCCATATCGAGACGTTGAAATGCGTGAATTGAGCTTTTTGAAAATTGCAGAAAAAGCTTCTCAGATGCTATTTTTGGGTGTAAAAGCTACAAGTTAGGAGACAGTCATCATTCAAGGTCATTTAAGGCCAGTTGTCATTCGTGATTGCTGTAATTGCTGACGTTTCAGGTTTCTGTGTGGTGATGAGCAGTTTGAACTCTTTTCGGTGGATCACAAACGACCCCACTCTTGCGTCGGTGGATGATGAAAACCACTACAGGTTAATAACCACACTTTAAACCCATAACTTATCTGCGCTTGTTGAATTAGATATAAAAATTCCTAGACATGTTTTTATTAACCAAGAGGTTATGTGAAATTAACAGGTTCTGCTGAAAACAAAAAACATAAGAAAAATTTTAGAAGGAACCCTTCAAAAATTTACTTGATAACAGACTCAGCTCAAAATAAAACTCACATTTTTTTGATTTAGAGAGTTGACATAACCATTCGAAACATAGAAAGTCGAAACATATCTATTCAGTGTCGAACCAACAAATTTAAAAAAAAATGTCGGTCGAGAAAGTCGTGAAATTCGAAATATATCTGAACTGGGTCAAACAAAGTCGAACACTTTTTTTCTTGGGTCGAGAAAGTCGAAACATACCGAGACTCGGTCAAGAAAGTTGAAAGATACCAATAGTTGGTCGAGACGGTCAAAACATACCAATTTTTGGTCGAGAAAGTCAAAGCATAACTCGAGCACCTCGACTATCCTCGTCCAAAAATGGGTGCAGTAAGTTAGTGAAGACATCTTTGGCAGCCCATCTTCGGCATGCCTGTTTTGCATTGATAACTCTCTCATTTTATGACAACTCTCGCATTGATTATTTTTGGATTGAACCAATCAATCGGTTGGTAGTTCTTATACTGCTTTTTGGGGTGCTCTCCTGCTGAATCCAATCTACTCACTGTATGTATAGGTGCACTGCTAATCTGTTTGTGTACTCTACCAAGACTGTCTGCTCCCTCCTCATCCTGGCGGCCATGACTGTGAACAGATGGTGTGCTGTATGCAGACCCCACTGCTACAAAAGTAAGTCAAACAACTCGAAAAAATTATCCCGCGAATTGCCACTTTTTATCATGGGCTACAAGAATGATGATTTTCAAGTTGGCCTGTGTTTTTTTCCTCAACCCAGACTGAACTATGTCACTGAACACAGGGGCGGATCTAGGATTTTCTCGAGGGGGGGGGCGGATTTTCAAAAAATTTTCCAAAATTTTCACGACCTTTTTTTTAGGTCGATCAAATTGATTTTTCGAGCTCTCTCAAAGCACTGTTTTGCCCCTATTTTGGCTAAATTTTCTGCGCCGCAGGTAATTTTTTTAAAAAACAGTCAAGAAAGCCGTTTTTGGGCACTTTTTGAAAAATTTTGACAAAAAAATCGCGTTTTTTTTGGCGCGCGCTCCCCCTCAAAGTTAGTATATATTGGCGCCGAAGGCGCCTTTAGAAAACTTTTAGGGTCGGTCGGCCAAAAATGGAATTCTGAAAAAGTATCAAAGGGGGACCCTTTGGGTCGACAGGGAGTCGAATCCCTGAGAAAAAGGCGAACGCTACACCCCCCCCCCCCTAAATCCGCCCCTGACTGAACATGTTTTTTGCTATTTAACGCCGTTTTTGAAGCTTTTCGATTAGATATGCATAGTAAAAATTACGCGATAATCCGAAGATGCGAAATGAAGATTCGAAATGTCAATCAATCACATAAGGTTGATAAATTATCTTGTTTTTTTTTTCCACATCTGACTTATCTTAAATCTTTACGATCTGAGCTGGTAGATCAATTGGAAGCTATAAATTCAACATCCTTAGAAGTTGGGCTTAAGGCCTCATTTATCCTCAAAACAATGCAGACTTTTATCTGCTCACATTTTTTTGCTAAATTAACCACCGAACTCAGATGCATGCCCGTACCCAGTAAATTTTCTAAAACAGATAAAAAAAAATCTTTTTTCCGATCTAAATTTCACATCTGAAACAGGTTGTGAAATATTTAAATAACGCTTGGATACTTTTAGGATTGGTTATTTCAGATCTAATTTCAGGTCTGAAATTTTCTTTTTTTTAATTGATTCAGATCTAGTTTCGGATACAATTTTTTTTCTTGATTATTTCAGATCTTAAAAAATTTATTTCAGATCTAATTTCATATTCAAAGTTGGTTTTTCTTGGTTATTTCAGATCTTGAAAAATTTATTTCAGATCTAATTTCAGATCTGAAATTTAGTGTTTCTTGGTTGTTTCAGATCTGCAAAATCAATGACTCGGACGCAATTTTGCTATTTTTTTGATGTTTTTACCTTCTGCTAGCTACTAGCAGGTACTCAGCAAAAATTGAAGTTGGAAACTGCCAAAGTTGTTTTCCCAAGCATGAGATAAAAATTGGAAACGCATAACTATCGCATGAAAATCAAAAGTTTTACAGGTCTTCTAACAGTTTTTAAAAACTTTTTAACACGGTTCAAAAAAACTGTTCGTGAAAACATTCATTCGAAGTTTTTCTGACCGCTAGTTAATCTAAACATAATTGTGTATTGCAGAAACAACAAAAAATAAAAACTCCTTCGAAATGCATAAATTATAACTTAACAGAGGATTTCTCAGATCTGATTTCAGATCTGATGAAGTTTTGTTTTTCAAGGTTATTTCAGATCTGAAATTTTCCATTTCAGATCTGCAATTTATAAATTTTAATGAAGATCTGAAATAAAGAATTTCAGATCTGAGAATCAACTCATATAAGAAATAAAAAAATTTCCGATCTTGCACAGAAAATCTCCTTGGTACGGGTGAGTCGATATAGCAGAATTAAGCATTAGGGAGTATTATAAATTAGATAAGAGTGCGTGAAAGTTCAGATAAGAGTGCGTAAGGCATGATTTTACAGCATTTTTTTTATCGAGATTTCTATCTTGACTTAGGTTTCGTGACAAAACCTCACAGCACAAGAAATAGCCCAAGAGCAAAACACTGAAGTTTGAAACCGCCGAGAGAATTTTTTCTTCGCTTAACATTAAAACGTTGTCAATTTAGTTTTAAATTTTTAAAACCAAAATTTCATTAAGCGTCCAGAACATGAACCATTGTTCAAGTGGCAAGCTCTTTGTCTCTCTGTCTGAGAATTTTGTTTCGCAATACAAGCTAAACATAAAATCAAACACAGTTCGAGAAATCAGCTCACCATGAAAATGTTATCTACGTTTCACACAAGTAGTTGCTAAAACGAAAAGCAGTTTTTTTGTCAAGAATTCTCGCGATTAAGAATTTACCCCGGTAAAAAAACTCGCGATCTCATTTCGGCTCATTTCGGCTCATTCGACTTTTTGAGAAGTTTTTTAAGTCTGCAGAATTTTTACCGGTTCAAATTAACTACAGTTCAAAAAAGTAAGCGGCAAAAAATTGTCATTGTTTGTTCTAGAACAAGCAAAATTAGTCTCCAGACCGTTTCAGACCTTCTTATTTTGTTCGACTAGTTGTCCTCTGCGTTATCTACGATGTTCTTAATATCGTTTTCAGAGCTGCTGTAATATTTCTCCATATGATTCCACTGCCTATTTGAATCGACTCGAAGAACAATGTTGACTGAGTTTCAGCAAAAAAAGTAATTGTTAAAAAAACAACTTTATTTGTTTTGCCCGGAAGAGTTAAGCAAGGTGGTTAATCAAGTTGGTTTGTCTCAAGGCAGAACCTCCTTGAGGGTTTCAATCGTCTTTTTACCTCTATCATGAAATTTTTATTCAGAAAAAAATGATGAAGCAGCATATTGATAAAACCAATATGCTTAACTCAATTATATTTTTTAGCCAGATTCAGTAGTCGCTGAGGTGTTAAAAACGCAATACTATGCGCGGTAATTATTTCAAATTAGGCAATATAGCAAAATCCTAACCCCTTCCAATTAAAGAAAAAATCGAAGGGTTTTGAGACTAAAAGAAAGGTCCTTTTTTTAGTTTCAAAGCATCAATACTTTTTAGACTGTATAAGCAAATCAATCAACAATTTTTTTGCCTAGAGTTTACAGAAAAACTAGGAAAAATCAAACCTAGCAAAGTTTTTCCGTCGTTTTTTTCAAAAATCGGAGCAAGGCTGACTGGTTATTTTCGCTTGCCTAACTATATGGACAAAAAGCGATAAGCAAACAGTCACTTTAAAGTCAACACTGAAATTAACAACTCTTAAAAAGAATGAATTGATTAAAAATCAAAAACAAAGTCAATAGTAGATTACTGTAAAACTTCCCCATGAGCTAAAAGTTCTAAAAATTTAGGAATTAGAAAAAAATGTAGGAATCTGCATTGACTCAGAAAGAAACATTGCGTCAGCGTTGGACCGTTTTTTTTGCCTCATAATAATTCGGAGATCGTATCGTATAATAATTCTGAGATCGTAAAAGAATGGAAAACAAAAAACTGAAAGAAACAGAAAAGAATCTACGAATTTTTTTTGGAGACATGAATTATGATCTGAATTATAAATCATAATCCAGTTAGACTATAATTCAGGTCTCCAAAAAATCGTTTAGATTCTTTCTGTTTCTTTTAAATTTTTTTGTTTTCTATTCTTTTACGATCTCAGAACTATTATAAGATACGGCCTCCGAACTATTATAAATTTGAAGTAAAAAAGAACGCGGCATCGTGGATCGAGAAGTACTGACGACCCAAAACACTGACAGTGATTAGGCAGACTAATCAACTAGTGGGTCAATCATCATTTTAGACACGGACTACTGATAATTAGTTAGAAATTATGTTTACTATTTTATGTGCTTTTTAAAACTTTTTTTCTTAACTATATAGCAGACCACCATAATCTTTTAAAAACATCTGAGGCAAGAGTTATATTGTTGTTTTAGATTTTAGAATAGTTGCAATTGGCTATAAAAGTTGTTTTTCATCGTTTCTTTCAGTTAAATTGAGACAATTTATACCATTAGGTCAATCAACCCTATTTTTTGAAGTCTTATTGAAAATATATTAAAAGATGATTGAGAAGTGCTTTTCAACAATCAATATATTCTTTTGTTTAGTCCTATAAAAAGAGTCAAATCAATTTTTTCATCCCATTTTTCTTTTTAGTGCGGAGTCATTTTAGAGCTTCGATCGTGCTCAAAATGTAGAAATGGCGATTAGAGAAAATCTTTCAAAAAAACTGCTTGCCGATCAAAAATTCAAATGTTTCTGCACACGGTGCCTCATTAAGTTTGAGTTTTTAATCGCAAAGAAAATTTTCAAACTCAAGTCGGAAAAGTTGTTGTCAGTTTGACAGTTTCTGCTTCCAAAATACTAGAAAAAAACTGCTGTAATCAACTTTTTAGAGTCAAGTTAGTTAACATTTTTAAACTACGCGGAAATTTTTGCTACTAGTTGATTCAAGCGTAACGAAAAATGCTCATTTTAATCAACTTAGACTTAAAGAAAACGCCTGCAGATTAAGACTGTGGTTCAGTTTTCTAGTGAAGTTGATGAAGTTTTCTTTTTAATCAATTGCGTTGCAGAGTTAGTTATTCAAACGTCGCCAGAGCGTGCAAAATATCAAGTGAGCAAAATTTGATCAAACTGTCGTCAAGCAATTTAGAACGAGTTTTTTCATGCTTTAATTGCCGCTTTGCAAAACATATCAACAATTTGTGGCGCATTTGTGATGCCTGCGAGCAATCATTTGATGCTCATGTAGCTCAACCAGAGGCAGATTTAGAAAAGAACGCCCCGAACCCAACCCCCCCCCCCCACCCTTCAGCAATTCGAACCCCCTGGTCTCCCAATGGAATATGCAGGCAAAACATTTTCAGAGCCCTTCGGCATATTCAGGCACAATAATGCTTGATTTTTAATGAACGGTAAGTGTGGCCATCAGCCTGTACTTTCATTTTGACAAGAAATTGCTCTGCATTGTCTGGATTATAAACCGGTATAGGAGATAAATTGACATCTTGCTAGACAATCAGGTTTTTATCTGAGCTCTAGGGTTGTATAATTTTCATTTGAAATCAAGTAAGGAATTCGCAACAGAAAAATGATTCTGATTTTTAT